AATTATTTTTCATATATATTATTATTTACCCTAATCGTTTTCATATAATAAGGAAAATTACCCTAATTGATTAGTATTCAACCAAACATATTATCAGTTCCATATATTATAATAATTATTATTATTATTATTATTATTATTATTATTATTATTATTATTATTATTATTATTATTATTATTATTATTATTATTATTATTATTATTATTATTATTATTATTATTATTATTATTATTATTATTATTATTATTATTATTATTATTATTATTCTAGGGGTATGATGGTTTTTCGGCCCATAGTCGATTAACGAGATCCATAGTAAAATTATACCAGTGGGATAGTCTATTAAATGATATGGGATAGTATATTAACACAGATGTAATTCGACTATACATCTCGTTAATCAACTATGGGCCGAAGAATTATCAAAACCCTAGATTTGAGTAATCCTAGATTTGAGTACCCTAGATTGGAGCAGTGACGGCGGCCCATAGTCGATTAACGAGATCCATAGTCAAATTATATCAGTGGGATAGTTTATTAGTATATTGTCGGTTTCGTTGGGCCAAATTACGTGAGTTTGCCAGAGATTTGATGCCCAAGTATTTCAAGCACAACAATTTCTCCAGTTTCGTTCGGCAACTGAATACTTACGTGAGTTTTTGCTAATCGAATCCTTCGATCTGTAACGAGGAATTTTGGTTTTTTTTTTTTTTTTTTTTATTATTGATTGAGTTGCTTATCTGATGATTTTTTAGGGATTTGGGAAGGTTATGCCTAATCGGTGGGAGTTCTCCTATGAATGCTTTCGAAAAGACGAGAAAAGGCCGTTGTGCGAAATCCAGCGCCGGAAAATTGCTACGACGCTGCACCACAGCGGACGGTGTCTCCGTCGGACTCCGGCGAGGAGCAAGTACTTTCCTCATCTAATTTATCCGGCACCGTCCGCGAGATCCGTATAAATTTCTGGTTTTGAGAGGTTTGCAGATGTTTTGGTAGTGGGTTTGTGGGGATAGTGTTTTAACGGGAAAATATGGTGGGATTTGATATTATTTCAAAAGGTAAAGTAACGTGATTTGTGGGATTTGATTGAGGGTACTTATGTAATTTAGAATAGTTTAGGTTTTTATCAAAATGACAAATTTAAATTTGGGTCTACCCCTATTATTTGAATGTCTAAGGGGGTTATATCTACCCTATTTTCTAATGAGGTAGATCCAATTAATTTTTCCCTTTTTGAGATACACCCAAATTTGCCAACTTGGCAAAATATATTATGTAATTTCCCTTTAATACCCCTTTTTTATTTTGTTTTATTTGTGAACGGTATTTACTTCCTTAACTACGTGATATGAGATTGCTAATACATTGCCTAAAATCACGGAATAAAATTACGTGAGTATACTGGCAGTTTCTATCAAATCTTGTACAACCGGTTTTGAAGAATTTATCCAGCGTTTCATCGTTTTCCATCGGATTTGAAGATAGGTTCGGATTTCATCGTTTTCATCGTTTTTCATCGTTTTCCATCGTTTTCATCATTTTCCATCGTTTCCATCGTTTTTCATCGTTTTCCATCGTTTTCATCGTTTTCATCGTTTTTCATCGTTTTCCATCGTTTTTTCACCGGCGTGGAAATAGGTTCGGATTTGAGCGTTCATCGTTGTCCGTTAGAAGAGGATGGTGTTTGTTTGGAAGAGGATTGACAGAGTTAGAAGAGGATGGTTCACGCAGATCGGACCAGAG